TGGCGGCTTTCAATATAAGCGATATGAAAACAATGACTTAGCATTGCCGAGGGACAGAATTTACCTTTCAATTATTGCGGTATTCCAAATTAAACGATATATAGCAACAAAGACAAAGAAGGCATGTGGCCGGGGATTCTTTTTTATTTCAAATTAAACAGTATTTCAATAAATCCGGGTTCAAATTAAGTGGGTTCGATTGTAGCTATAAGTGATGACGACATGTCTGTGTATAGATATAAGTAATGACGACATGTCTGTTTTTACAGCTATAAGTGATGACGACATGTCTGTGTATAGATATAAGTAATGACGACATGTCTGTTTTTACAGCTATTAGTATTGACGACATGTCTGTATATAGCTATAAGTAATGGCGATATGTTTGTATATAGCTATACGTAATGACGCCATGTCTGTGTATAGCTATAAGTAAAGACGCCATGTCTGTATATAGCTATAAGTGATGACAGCATGTCTGCTTATAGCTATGAATAATGACGGCATGTATGTGTATAGCTATAAGTAATGACGACATGTCTGTATTTAGCTAAAAGTAATGAAGACATGTCTGTATAGAGCTGTAAATAATGACGACATGTCTGTATATAGCTATAAGTAATGACGTCATGTCGGTAAATAGCTATAAGTTATGACGACATGTCTGTATATAGCTATAAGTAATGGTAATATACCTGTATAAGCTGTAAATAATGACGACATGTCTGTATATACCTATAAGTAATGACGTCATGTCGGTGAATAGCTATAAATACTGACGTCAAGTCTGTATATAGCTATACGTANGTCGATGTCACACCCGAGCATTAACACGATAAAAAGCCGAGTTACCCACTTACGAGATAATTATCTCGGCAAAATTATCTCGGCAAATGTGATAATATGTCGACATACTTTAACAGTTATGTCGACATCTTCTCAGATTATGTCGACATATTCTCAGATTATGTCGACATCTTTCAATAATTATGTCGACATACGTAACTCGTAAGTCGAAAGTGGATGGCAGAAATATGCCACCATAGGGACCAACACGAGCCAGCTTATTTAGGCTTTTATTTGGCCTGTATCGTATTTCTCGTACACAGGTAGATATACAGTACCGTGTGCCGGCCATGTAAGGATATGTACGTATAATCGGACACCATTACATGTTCAGTTTAATCAATATTGTATTCTAACATTTAATATTTGAGTAGCTATTTACATGTAAGTTCAAAATCTGGTATCATTCTCATGCTGTCGGAAAGTCTAATTTAGGACGGAAGAAGTTAATAACACGTGTTTGTTTTCGTTGCTTCATTTGGGATTGCGACATAAACGTGTCGAGCTCGCGCACGCATGTAACTAATGGTAGAAGTCATTTCATACAATTGCCTTCTTCTAAACACACTTGTACACTTACCAAAAGATATATGTTCAATAACAAACACCAATGATTGATTAAAACTTACAATTTATTGGTATTGTATTAGAAATCCATTTTTACCTGGTGAAACATCGGACGCACTAGACATAGCGTGACGGCCGGTTGTGGCGGCTTTCAATATAAGCGATATGAAAACAATGACTTAGCATTGCCGAGGGCCAGAATTTACCTTTCAATTATTGCGGTATTCCAAATTAAACGATATATAGTAACAAAGACAAAGAAGGTATGTGGCCGGGGATTCTTTTTTATTTCAAATTAAACAGTATTTCAATAAATCCGGGTTCATATTAAGTGGGTTCGATTGTAGCTATAAGTAATGACGACATGTCTGTATATAGCTTTAAGTAATGGCGATATGTATGTATATAGCTATACGTAATGACGTCATGTCTGTGTATAGCTATAAGTAAGGGCGATATGTTTGTATATAGCTATACGTAATGACGTCATGTCTGTGTATAGCTATAAGTAATGACGACATGTCTGTATATAGCTATAATTAATGACGGCTTTCTGTGTATATCTATAAGTAATGACGACATTTCTGAATAGAGCTGTAAGTAATGACGACATGTTTTGTATAAAGCTATAAGCAATGACGTCATGTCTGTATATAGCTATAAGTAAGGGCGATATGTCTGTATATAGCTATAAGTAATGGCGATATGCCTGTATATAGCTATAAGTAATGACGTCATGTCTGTATATAGCTATAAGTAATGGCGATATGCCTGTATATAGCTATAAGTAATGACGTCATGTCGGTGAATAGCTATAAGTAATGACGACATATCTATATATAGCTTTAAGTAAGGGCGATATGTCTGTATATAGCTATAAGTAAGGGCGATATGTCTGTATATAACTATAAATAATGGCGATATTCCTGTATATAGCTATAAGCAATGACGTCATGTCGGTGAATAGCTATAAGTAATGACGACATGTCCTTATTTACATGTAGCTATAAGTAATGGCAATATGCCTGTATATAGCTTTAAGTAAGGGCGATATGTCTGTATAAAGCTATAAGTATTGACGACATGTCTGTGTATTGCTATAAGTAATGACGTCAAGTCTGTATATAGATATAAGTGATGACGTCATGTCTGTATATAGCTATAAGTAATGACGACATGTCTCTATATACATGTAGCTATTAGTAATGGCGAAATGCCTGTATACAGCTATAAGTAATGACGTCATGTCTGTGTATAGCTTTAAGTAATGGCAATATGTCTGTATATAGATATAAGTAAGGGCGTTATGGTTGTATATAGCTATAAGTAATGACGTCATGTCTGTGTATAGCTATAAGTAATGATGTCATGTCTGTGTATAGTTATAAGTGATGACGTCATGTCTGTGTATAGCTATAAGTGATGATGTCATGGCTGTGTATATTTATAAGTGATGAACGCATGTCTGTGTATAGCTATTAGTAATGGCGTCACTATGCAGCTATAGTCTGTATATAACTATAAATAATGGCGATATGCCTGTATATAGCGATAAGTAATGACGTCGTGTCTGTGTATAGCTTTAAGTAATGACGACATATCTATATATAGCTTTAAGTAATGATGTCATGTCTGTGTATATTTATAAGTGATGACAGCATGTCTGTGTATATTTATAAGGGATGACAGCATGTCTGTGTATAGTTATAAGTAATGATAACATGTCTGGTTACAACTGACGTCATGTCTGTGTATAGCTATAAGTAAAGACGCCATGTCTGTATATAGCTATAAGTAATGATGTCATGTCTGTGTATATTTATAAGTGATGACAGCATGTCTGTGTATAGCTATAAGTGATGACGACATTTCTGAATAGAGCTGTAAGTAATGACGTCAAGTCTGTATATAGCTATACGTAATGACGTCATGTCTGTGTATAGTTATAAGTAATGACGTCATGTCTGTGTATAGTTATAAGTGATGACGTCATGTCTGTGTATAGTTATAAGTGATGACAGCATGTCTGTGTATAGCTATAAGTAATGACGGCATGTCTGTATATAGCTATAAGTAATGACGGCATGTCTGTATATAGCTATAAGTGATGACAGCATGTCTGTATATAGCTATAAGTGATGACGACATTTCTGAATAGAGCTATAAGTAATGACGGCATGTCTGTATATAGCTATAAGTAATGACGTCGTGTCTGTGTATAGCTATAAATGATGACAGCAATTCTGTTTTTAACTATGAGTGATGACAGCATGTCTGTGTATAGCTATAAGTAATGACGTCATGTCGGTGAATAGCTATAAGTAATGACCTCATGTCTATATATAGCTATAAGTAATGGCGATATGCCTGTATACAGCTTTAAGTAATGGCAATATGCCTGTATACAGCTATAAGTAATGGCGATATGCTTGTATATAGCTATAGGTAATGGCGATATGCCTGTATACAGCTATAAGTAAAGGCGATATGCCTGTAAACAGCTATAAATAATGACGACATGTTTGTATATAGCTATAAGTAATGACGACATGTCTGTATATAGCTTTAAGTAATGACGTCATGTCGGTGAATAGCTATAAGTAATGACCTCCTGTCTGTATATAGCTATAAGTAATGGCGATATGCCTGTATTCAGCTATAAGTAATGGCGATACGCCTGTAAACAGCTGTAAGTTATAACGTCATGTCTGTATACACCTATAAGTAATGGCGATACGCCTGTGAACAGCTATAAGTTATAACGACATGTCTGTATACAGCTATAAGTAATGGCGATATGCCTGTATACAGCTATAAGTAATGGCGACATATTTGTATACAGCTATAAGTAATGGCGATATGCCAGTATACAGCTATAAGTAATGGCGACATGCCTGCATACAGCTATAAGTAATAGCGATAAGCCTGTATACAGCTATAAGTACATGTTATGGCGATATGCCTGTATACAGCTATCAGTTAAGACGTAATAAAATTATTCAGCTACAGCTCTGTAAGTAATGGTGACGTGACCTGTCCGTACATGTGTATAGGTCATTATGTCATGTCTATTTACAGCTATAAACAATCTCGACATGGCTGTGTATAGCTATTAGTAATGGCGTCACTATGCAGCTATAAATAATGACAACATGTCTATATGCAGTTATTAATTTTAACGAAATAACTGTATAAAGCTATACGAATGACGAAATGTCTGTTGGGAGCTATTAGTAAAGATAATATTTCTGTATGAGGCAATAAGAAACGACGATGCGTCTTTAGAAAGTTATAAGTAATACATGTCTGGTTACAACTATTAGCGATGAAAACATGTCTGTATGCAGGTATTAGTAATGAAAATATGTCTGTATGCAGCTGTAGGTAATGATGATATGTCTGTATGCAATAATTAGTAATGAAAACATGTCTGTATGCAGGTATTAGTAATGAAAATATGTCTGTATGCAGTTATTAGTAATGAAAATATGTCTGTATGCAGTTGTCAGTCATTTTGCCTGTATGCAGATATTAGTAATGAAAATATGTCCGTATGCAGCTATTGGAATATGTAGCAATGCCATGTTGTATACAGCTACATACAATTGTGTAGATGTAAGAACGCTATACAGCCGTGAAACGTTTAAACATTTGTCAGCATTTTTGAGTAGTGAGAGAATAAAAATATACACGAGCTGTTACGTTATTCAATTGATAAGACAATAGAAGGTATCAGGCGAATTAACAATTAACAAATAGTATATACCAACCTACAAAACGTATTGTTGCTGCCGACTTGGATTCTTCACGTAGAAAATGTTTAAACCTGGTCACAATTGTACGTCTGGTTGTTGTACATTACTCCGTTCGATGCGCTAACGCGGAAGTTAGTTCGCGGTAGCGAGGCCCAACACATAGCGTACATAGATTTCGTTTCATACGAAGTCTGCAAAAAATTGTTCAGTAAACAAATTATATCCAATAATAGATTCATAAGGTGTGTGCACTAACATTGAATACCTGATCATAGTATGCTTGACAGAACCCCC